TCTCTCTCTCTCTCTCTTCGAGCACCTTTGCTAACTTCGGCCGCGGCGCGGTGTGGCGCACGGCGGGCGCATGAGTGGCGCTCGCCAACTGCATTATCAACTTCCCTCAATATCTCGACTCTCGACCCTTCGGGCTCTCCCTCCCCTTCAGATCTGCTGCGGCGTCCCCTTTGGCCCTTCATTGTGCAAGAAGACGACGTCGACGTCCCGAGTCAAATAACTCGATGTTTGCAAAGTAAGCCGGTGCCTCCCCGCCCCGCTCCGCCCGCGCCGCTCGCCACGGCGGGCCACGGCACTCGCCTCAGCGATGCCGCCGCTGCGCTGCTAGTTTCAGTATGTCACAAACCGTACGTACGACTTCGGCAAGAGAGCAGGAGAAACTTGGACCCGAGAGACAAGAGGCAGTAGCAGTGAGTGGAGTGGGCACCATGCAAATATAGAGGGGAGAGCAGAGAGAGAGTCAGAGAGAGAAAGAGAAAGAAGCGGAAAGCGGGAGGGGAGAGGGGGGGGGGTCAACTTACTCAGATGGTTGGTGGGAGTGCTCCGGCGGTCGTAGTTGGTGAGCAGCGTGTCCAGGATCTGCAGCTGGGCCATCTTCGCGGTGCCCCTGGAGGAAAGGAAAAAAAAAAAGAATTAAGGAATGCGCGTTTTACATAATCTGTTATTTTCCCCGAGACTCCTCCTATCACGCCCAAACTTTCTCTCTCGCCTTGGCTGGCCGGCCTACCCAACTCCTTATCCCCCTCCACCTAAGAAAACATGCTCGGCGGGAGAACAGAAACGCGCAAAGTTTTTCACCCCGTTTTTATTATTAAATTCAGGGGAGAAACAGTCGAATGTGATAAACTGCTTGCTGCTGCTGGTGCTGCCGCCCAGGAGCCGTTTTCATTACAATGTTTTTTACCCGCCGAGGCGAAACCAGTGGCAGCAGAAACGAAAGCAGGCGAAACAAACCGTCGCTTCGCGCAGCGCCAAAGCGACAGGGAAAGGGTGGGGTATAGTACAAAGACTACAAAAACACTCGGATTTCCTAGCAGATGCAGCGTGCGGTGCAGGACCTATCTGCATTCCTCTGCTGGAGCGAGTATGAGGGATAGTCGCTCATGTGACCCCCCTCCCCCTTTCCTTTCCCCCCTCGTTTCGCCGACCCTCGCTTTGAGTCGATTTCACGGCTACACGGGCATCTGCCCGCCGACAAAACGACCAGGCCCGATGGGGTCGTGGCGACGGGCGGCGCCGCCCGGCGTGGCGTGGTGGTGCTTTATGGGACGAGGCGGCGAGACGCGGCGCCTCGCGACGAGACGGTGGCGGCCGCCGCGAGGAACTGCACCCGGGACACGCTGGGTCTTTGGAGGGACTAACTCGTGACAACACTAATAACTTGTACGCTGTTCTTTTTATATAAAGTCGATCTCGATCCGTTAAGTTGAGGGCATTTGCAATAAAAGTCTCATCCATGTTTTGTGCCCACTGTAGAAACCTTTGCAAAAGATCGAGGCTGTTTTGTTAACAGGAAACAATGGTCGCAAATACAAAAGATTTTCACGCAAATTGCGAAGAAATTCCTTCGCAAGTTCCTAAGCAGCCAAATCTTTCGGAATACGAACACAATTCTCCAGTCTCCAGAGAATTTTGAATGCAATTCCGTCCGAGTATAGGTAGGGTGAATCAATTGCACCAAGAGCAATTGTACGAGATCCTAAAAATCATACACGGAAAGAAAAGATTTCATTTGACATGGCCACTCAGGGAAACTAAGAGTGTAAATAATACGCAGATTCACTGAATACCCCCATGTACGCGTTACTTAATGAGTGCCTGTGAGTGCCTTTGTATGGAGAAGATAGAGCAAAATTACATGGCATGGCAGTGTGTATGGGGATGGGATCTTCAATAAAAAAAACCGTTTCTCAGATTCATTTTGCAAATTAAGGGACATCGGCGCCTGCGAGGCTCAGGGTAGGCCAACCTGCAGTACACGCATGCACTGCAAGATATTGCCTACCTATTAGGCGCTAGGGGAGCATGCAAAGGCGAACTGATCAATTTCGAAACGGTTAATGACGAACGTGTAGTAGTTTGTGAATGTACCTGCATACGCGATATTCAGAAAATAATGCATGCGTGCATGGGGGTAATTAGTGAATAATGCACACGTGTACACAATTAGGTTTCCACAGATCATAAAAACATACAGTATTATGTTGAATGAACCTGAATTAACCCGTATGACAGCAATCCCATTCTTCACTCGAAAATATAACGATACTTCCACTTCCAATCAAAAATTACAACTAAATAAACAATAACGAAAAAACAATTTTGTGCTGACATTTTGTCGGTGAGCCTGGTGGAAATTGGCGTTTGCAAACAAGCAATTGAAATTTGATGATTGCATCTCCGGCGCGGATGAAATACCGGCGGATGCGGCGTGGGGTGGCCTTGCTGTCTTATTTGGCGCGCGGCCGTTGGGCGGATGGATCCAATGCTCCACAAGCGAAACCTATCCGAGATTGCTTGTGGGGCTCGTGGAGCGCTGTTTAACTACGGTGGTGCTCGCGGATGGCTTGTGTAAACACTTGTTGCTGCTTCGCCCCGCGCCCCGCGCCGCCCCGCCCCGCCCCGCGCCCCGCGCAGTGCTGTGCCGTCCGCCACGCTCCGCCATGCGCCGCCAGAATGTTCCCGTTTTGCCGCGATAGCTCTCCACTGCTCCACCCTACTACATCCGACCACCCCCTCAACCAAGTCCGCCCCGCCCCACCCCTCTCCCCGTGCCGTGCGGTGCTCCCCTGCGCTCCTACCGCGGACAGAACATGCAAACCGCAAGCCAGAGGCAGGCAGGCGAGGAGCCCCCGCCACGACTCAAACCTTGCCAACGTCCCTAACCTTCTCAAACCCCACCCTCCGCACCTCCCACCTCCCTACCTTTCACTCCAGGTTGCGAGGAGCAAGCAACAAGAAGGAGGAGAATAAGAGGGGTGGGGTGGGAAGGGGAGGGGGGGGGGGACTTTCCCCATTCTACCCCCCGATACAAGTGGCCCCAGGCTGCTCTTGAGAAAGGAGTTTGAGGTTTGATAGCGCCCACCAGAGCAGGCTAGGGCAAGCCCCTCGCAGACTACGCACCCCTCCGTTTGCACACACACACACACACACACACACACACTCCGTCACGAACATGCGCAGCTCCACCTGAGCTACCAGCGCTGTGGGTAGTATCGGTAGCCTTGCGTCGGCATTGTCTGACTACTTGTTGTGAGCAGCCCCCCCCCCCTCCCCTACGCGTCTATTATAACCGCGCCCTTGCACAGGAAGGAGGCCGCTCTCAAAAGGAGGGGGGAGGGAGACGACTATTTCGTTTCGAGATATCTCATTTCAGGCGCAAAAAGCGCGGGCGGCGCGCTCTTGCAGCGGTCCGCAGAGAGAGCCCAGCCAGGCGGCAGCTGCCCAGCACAGTCGGGTCCGGCGATACAGCGGAAGGGCGGGCATCAGGGGCCACAGCATAATGCTCTGAAAGGGCTGACGGTGACCCCCCTCTCCGTACCGGGCCACGCGTCGCTCCCAGTGCCGCGCGGCCTCACGGGCTCTCCATCCACGGACGCTTAAACTGCACTTAGCATGCTAGAAGGGGCGTCAACCAGACTGCCTGACGCGACTAACCCCCCGGCTGGTCCCCCCCCCACCCCCTGCTGGA